ATCAAGTATGATACTCAACCAAAAACCTACAAAGTAAGTACTATAACAATAATTAATTAATAGCGATGTTCGAGCTAATAACCAACAAAATAAGCAATAATGAGATAAGTGGAAGATGAATTTTCTTTTTTTTTTTTGAAGTTATGTATACAAATAATCATAATTAAGTATGGATAAAGTAATTAATAAATTAACATATAATTAAATAAATGAAATATAAAGTAATTAGATTAAACTGAATTTAAAATCTCAAAATTTCCTCCTTGTCATGAAAACAAGACGTCATTTATTGGGTTGGAGGTGACTTTAATTCTTCAAGCAACAGTTTAATAATTAATAAAACCTAACAAAAATTCAAACCCCTACACCCCAAGAAGCAGAGAAAAAACCCAACAAAATATATATTTTGGGGAGTAGAAAATTCTTGTGGGCGGGCGGGGGCTCACACCACATCACTCTTCAAGGTGACACCTCTTTGCTTTTAAATGGCATTAACCCTTTGGGAGTCTATGTGCAAAGAACCCTCCCTATCTCCATTCTCCTCCACACATTTCCCCTCTTCTCTCTCTCTCTATCTGCCCCATTTGTGGCTCCCCATTCCCACCTAGCTAGCTCCCCTTGATTTCCTCCCTTAATCGTGTGCCACATTGGCATCTTCACATGAAGTATGCCACATCAACAAATACCCTTTTTTTTGAAATCTTGCTCAAATCGAGGAAATAAAAAACATTATTCTTGCCTTGAAAGGCTTGGTGAGGGTTGCTCCACGGCCATGGCCCAAGGAAGTATACCCCACAAATCCGTTCTTGCCCATACATTTCCATGGTCCTATCACATACTCCCATTATTAATAGGATAGTGCATAATATACAGAGGAGCATGCACCTTCTTTGTTCACAACAATATCATTTTTATTTTCAAACACTAGTAATTTTTTTTTGTTCCTATTATCTATCATATAAAGAAATATGATAAGTTATAGACTTTACGATCGTAAAATTTAATTGTGAAAATGAGATTTTCTTGATTAATAAGAATTACATAAACCCGAAACATGGAGTGGAATCACTTTTCGGATTAATGAAATTATTGTGTTTTACAATTAATATAAAAAATATTTAATTTTCTTTAAAGAATTATTATTAGTGTGCAAATTGTAATAATAATATATATATATATATATATATATATATGAAAAAGGATTTAAGGCAGACACGGAGATGGAGGGATAAAAGCGTGGATTAACGTAAACGTGGGTCCCATTAGGCCACGTCATTAAAAATGATTCGATTACGGACCTCAGGTGGGGATCACGTGGCTCATGACCCCATTCTGGACTCGATTTGTCCACGTAGGTATAGATTTGGAGAATCTGCCAAGTCATCTCTTCCTACCCAAGTTTAAAAAATATCTTCGGACAAGGCATAAATGCCCACCCACCATAGTCCTCCACGTGGCACTCAACCAACGGCTCTCGTAGTCAAGCCAGCCACCACGTTTCTTCTCCTCCTACTGTCTAAACGAAACACACACAAAAATAATAAATTTTTAAGATGACGCGGCAGCCGATTTAATCGTCAAACTCGACCCTTTGGTTAAAATGTAAATGACAAAACTACCCTTAACGCGATTTAAATAGCAAACATGTTAGAGGTGAGTGGTTTTCCCGTAAAAGGAAAAGTGAAAGAAAAGCAGAGAAAAGAAGAAAGCAAAGCAGTGAAGAAAAGAATGAAGAAGTGTGAGCTGTGTGAACGGTTAGCTCGAATGCACTGCGAATCAGACCAAGCAAACCTGTGTTGGGACTGCGACGTGAAGGTTCATGGTGCCAATTTCCTCGTGGCGAAGCACAGTCGGAACCTCCTCTGCCATGTCTGCCAAAACCCAACTCCCTGGCTCGCCTCGGGTCGCAACCTCAGCCCTGCTGTCTCTGTTTGCGAGTCATGCGTTGGCAACAACAACAAGAAAAATAACGGCAGTATTTGTGAAGTGACTGATCAGCAGGAAGAGTCATCCGAGGAAGAGTATGACGAAGATGGAGAAGAAGATTATGAAGAGGAGGAGGAGGAAGAGGAAGAAGAGGAAGAGCAGGTTGAAGATGGGGAAAATCAGGTGGTTCCATGGTCAGGGGATTCTTCTTCTTTTTCGATGTCAAAGCCGGTGTCTAGCTTGGATTCTTTGAGTAGCAGTGAAGGTGGTGGTTTCCGATTGAAGAGGATGAGAGAGAATCTAAGTTTTTACTCTGATGTATGTTGATTTTGCTCTCTTGCTCTGCTTTTTTTCCCTTAAATTATAGCCATTTTCTTTAAAAAATTGTGCTTTTTCAAGAAAAATATTTGAATCTGAAAATGGTTTAATTCAAAGGGTATTATATAAACTTGAGGAAAAGAATTTATATTTCCTTTGAATTAAGGAAAAGAATCTGTTTCAGAATTTTGTTGGAAACGGAATCCCATGCTTAGGAAGAACAGAGATTTTTTTAATATATATCTTTTTCCTTTAATTTTCCTATCACTCTAATAAAAATTCTTTTAATTTCTACTAGTTTAGAATCTTGGTTAGGGTTTTTATGAATTAAAATTTTTTCTTTTAATCACAGAATATAAATTTTTTCAGCATCTTGTCTTGTGTAAAAAGAAAACCCTGCCCTTAGGAATCAACAGAGACTTTGTTGAATATTTTGTTTTTCTTGTTCCTTGATTTCTGATAATCACAAACAAAAGTATCCAAATTTTTGTTTAATTTGGAATCTGGGTTTATGAGTTGATGAGTCAAAGTTCAAAATTTCTTTTTTCTTTTCTTGGTCATATATTTTCTAAGGAACCAAACAGGGTATTGACAAGGGTGAAATTTCATTTGTGACAAATGCAGGATGAGTTTGGGTGCTCCTCATCTCATGTGGGCTCAGGAGGATCAACCAATGGAGAAGCAACATCTATGGGCCCATCAAGGTTATTGAAGCAACCAAGATTATGTGAAGTTAATCAATCAGCTAGAAATCAAGATCACAGTGAAACAGAGTCTAGATCAACTGCTATAATCAGCTCTTTGAATAGACTTCAAAACCACATGGTCACCAATGACAATGATGCATCAGCGACAATCCTTGGGATCTGCAGGTTGAGCAGAGATCAGAGCCCTTTACATTTCACTTCCCACTAATTCTCTTATTTAATCCTAACTTACACAAATTGCAATCCCCTGAGGTAGTTCTTCCTGTTTTTGGAAATATTTCAAATTTCTTTGTCTTCATTGTGGAAATTGGTGGAATTTACTTTCCTTTTTTGTTTTTTTTTTTTGGGCGTGTGATGATGATTTTTGCAATGTTGTAATTTTGCTTACATTTTTTTAGTAATACTATGTATTTGTCCATTCAAGCATAGAATTGCATAAAGTCCAAATATGTGCACACAAATTCCATTGAAGTTTAATAAAAAGGAAAAAGATAAGAAAATTGGGTGATGGTCATGGAGATATTGGTGCAAGTTGGCATTTTATGACCTTTTCTTATCAAATATGGAGGCCATAGATGCTTTGTTTCTGCCACATGTGCTTTACCAAATAGATGGCAAAACTGATCCTCCGCTAGCATAGTTGCCATCACAAGACTATAGTTTTGATCTATGACACTATTCTAACCAATAGTCTTTAAGAAATTGATTACAAATTACTGAATCTAATGAAAGTTTTTGAAGAATTTCGGTCAAAATAGGAATACGGAAAGAGGGTTTGAAAATGACTATTCATTCATTGTCTTATTCGATCTATGCACGCTTGCTTACATGTGTTTTATCCACAAGTTGTGAATTGGAAAACAACTCGTGGTGCATTTATTATCTATTTGTATGGATTTGTGACGCACAAAATAAAATAATAGTTTCTTCTCATTTGAACAGGCCATGTTAGGTGCCAAACCCAATAATTAGAAACTTAAAATAATAATAATAATAATAATAATAATAATAGAAAGAAGTGGTGAGATTGACTAGACTAAATTTGAGGGGTGAAACTTGTGGCTGGTTGTAGCGAGGAGGGGGCATAGGGTATGAGCTAAAGAAGTAGGACTGAAATGTACGGTGGATAGTAAACAAAACCCCACCCAAAGCTTTGCTCAGCATGTAGTAATAATTTGAAGGATATTAAAAAATAATAAAGGCAATCCACTTGCACAACCCCCATGTGGATTAACTTGGGGTGATGTTGATATGGCATATGGTTTGGGGTTTTCTTTGTTCATATGAGATATGGAAGGTATTTTACCCTTTAGTTATTTGATAGAAGTGGGGGACTCATTTTGTCCTCTTGTGTTATTTATTCATTTATCTATTATCGAAGTCTTCATTTGTTGTTCTTCACATCAAATCAAGTTGAATTTTAGAAAAGCAAATGAAGGAAAAGAAAAAAAAACCCGGCTTTCTCCTAATTGAGACATTTAGCTTTTTGACTATTTCAGTATTGATAAAGATAAGTATCTCTTGGCCTCCTTTTCTTTTCCCTGATTTGTCTCCTTGGTTGAAGGAGTAGTTTGACCAAGCATTTTTATTCAGTTGAAAGAAGATTGTGCTACGCAAGCTGTGCCAAATTGTTAATGCAGAAAATTATCATCACCACCCAGTCAACTGCAGTCATATACGCATCCCCGAGAGACACTTGTTCGAAAAAGCTGAAACAATGACCATGAAATCAATCTTAGAAAGCAAACTAATTGAGGGTTATCTCTCAATTTCTGAGTGGTTTCCTTTCCTCCCCTGATTGAGGGAAGCAATCCCTAGTTTTCTACTTAGATTGAGGGAAATTGAGGTTGACATTTGGTCTTGGCTTTTAGAACATCAACTTGCATCTGCACTTTGCATGTGCTTTCCAACTAGACCACCATCACTCAATGACCAACAGAGCTAGATTTCATGTTAGTGATATGCAGGTATAGTGAGATTTTTCTTTTCAGCAATCAGTATGCAGTTACTAAAACTTTCCCAGCTTTCTGCATCAAGAAAGCACTTGAATTCAAGGTGAAGCTCATCAAATACTTTCATATTTCTGCCCTGCAGTATGGCCACAAAAACAGCTCATAAAATAGAAAGCCAATGCTGACACTGGGATTGTCTTATATCACAGTAGAGCAAAACATAATAATCTCCTCGAGTGCCATAATTGAAAGGGAAAAAAAAGAAAAAAAAAAAAAACCTCATCAACCATACAATAACATCATCGATAGAGTTATGCAAAGTGGAGATGAAACTAGAAAGAGAAAATCCTAGGAACCGTTTTAACCAAGTGCCATTAACCACCAAAGATTTTGATGACTTCTCTTTGTCCCAGCTAATCCATATCAACTCACAGCCATCTCTGCTATCTATAACACAAGAAAAGCAAGATGAAAAACAAATCAGATTCCAAACAGGTTTGCATAAAAGAACGACAAAAAACCATTTCATGAAAGATATTTCCAATGCCAAGAAACAAACCTGATACTGATAGGATAAAGCTGCAATTACCAGGGACTTACTAAGCATCTGCCATTACAGAAGCAGCAAATACTAATGTCAATTTACAAGATATGGTGTAAGTTTATAAGTCAGCAACTAATAAAAGTTTTATACATGAACCAAAGTCTATGAAGAAACTAAGGATGCTTCTACTACAACATGATATGGATTTGATAACAGAGAATCCCATCTTTAGTAATTCTTGATGCTTCCACCAGGATACCATACAGACTGATCATTTTCTTTCTATATTCCATAGGTTCCAGTTCCACTGTGTTTCACAAGTAATAGCCCAAATAAAAAAGAAAAGACAGCAGGGGGAAATGCTTGCCATCAATTGATACATAAACAGCTTCCTCCAAATGCAAAAGCCTTCTCATAATCTAGGCATATCTTTTAACATCTAATAGTTATCATTCCAGTCTCAATTAACTTCCCAAATCGGATTAATCCATATATTTCCACCATACTTACCAGCTACAGCAGATCAAACATCCTAATAGGTATGTTGTAAAGCAACATATATGAAAAAGAGAAGCATATTCTAATAAAACCTAATTGGCACATCCTCTTTCTGAAAGTTCCCCAGAATATGGTTATGGGGGGAAAAAGAGTGTGCTTTAACAAAGAATTCCACAAAAAAAGGCACAAGTGATTTATCTCCCCATATTCTCCCATTTAAAGTAACTATGATTTACGAAACCATTTGCATTCCCATATAAACAGCTTCCGATAGCACTTTTCAGTTCCAAATGATCATCCCAACAGCTAGAAACACTCCAACTCCTTCATGCATCAAGTTGCTTTGTCTAAAGTGGACAAACAACAACTCAAAACATCTTCCTATAATCTCCTACGATGGTAACATCATGTCCTGACACCTCCATGAGCAGGCCAAACTTGCTAGTTAATGCATGCTCTAATAACTGTACATCATTTATTCATACATGCACGCACAGATTTAACAGATTAATAAAAGACAGTAGCAATTGCTATCCACACGTCTTTATCACATGTATGCAATCCTCTCCAGTCATACCACTAATCTAGCAACAACCCCTATTATAAGTTCAAATAGCAAGCACACCACGCTACTATATCTTATCCTCCTTATTAAATTATTTTCATTGTGGATGACTTCTCCCCATTTCAATTAGCTCCCAAAATTTTCCTACCAAGCTGCAAAAGAGTTCCTTCTTTTACACATATTAGGTTACTTAATAAGCAATGCAGCAATTGCTATTACACATCTTTATTTAAGCAATGCTCTACGACACCAAGTTAGCAATGACATGTATGATAAGCTTCTACACCAAGTACACCACCGTAATATGCTGTCTTTATTAAATGATTGGTCCCATTGTCCATAACCCATCCCTTTTTCAGTTAACTACCTATCTGCAACAAAGTTCAAGGGGACAAAACTAATCCTATCCAGCTCACAAAACAAATCCTACCCTTATAAAAAACTAATACTACTAAGTAAACTAAACAATATATAGGCTACAAGAACAACAATAAACCAAATCTTTTTGCCACAACATGGTATCAGCTGTATAGATCATACTATACAAACATGCGGCTGTATAGATCATACTATACAAACATGCCCTATTTATCAGCTAATGTAACAAAAACTGCTTAAATCATCCAAATTAAACAAAAAAAAAATGCCAAGAAACCAATTTTCAAATAATTAAAACCAACACAAACTAACCCTTTCCCCAATATGTGATCATCAACATAGATCATATCATACCTAAATTGATACCACGACAAACTAATTAATACTAAGAAAAAGACCAACCTTTGCCAACCTAAACATTGTATTAGCCATAACCACAACAAAATGAGCTTTTTCCCGATACATGGGTCAGCCATAAGGATCATGCACTGCCACTGTGCCTTACTCGTCATCTAACAGAATAAAAACACAATCAACAAAAAAAAAAAGGCCAATTTCATCCGAATTAAACATCTTAACACTGCCGAGAAACCAAAAATTCAGTCACAATAAACCAAAACAAACTACATTAGTATGCAAGATCGCTATATGGATCATATGATGTGACTTTGCTTCTGTATCCTATTAATCGGTTAATACAATAAAAACACATAAGCAGCAATAAAGAAAAAAAAAACTGATCAAGCCACCCAAATTTAGCAATGAAACCAGTACAAAGATCCCAAATTTTCAATCAAACTCAAACATCAAAAAAAAAAAAAACTCAAAAAAGATTAACCTTTGCCACCTTCCTCCTCCACCTCAGCCTCCTTAACCGTCACCACGGGCTCGCCATTCCCGCCATCTTTATCTTCAGGATACCTAACAACAACAACAGGACAAACACAGTGATGCACACAATAATCACTAACACTTCCCAACCTCCCATCACTGCCTCTTTTCTCAGCTCCAAACCCTCTACTCCCCATTATAACGGCACTCAACCCCAACCTCTCCACCTCAAGACACAATCTTTCCCTCATATCATGATCTTTCACTATATGAATCTTAAAGGGAAACCCTGATTCCTTCAAGGGTCTGGCCAAATCCGCCGCCTTTGAAGCCGTGAAGGCATCAAAATCGTCTTCCAGCTGCTTTTGGGACTGCGGTGTTTCCGGGGTTTGCGGTGTGTGGGGGAGTGGGCCCCAGTCGGCTCCGAAGAGTACGGAAGTGGGTGACACGTGGAGGAGGATGACAGCGTCACCGGGTCGGATGTAGTTCTGGACAGCCCAGCGGACGGCGAAGGCAGATTCTTCGGAGAGGTCAACGGCTACGCCAATCTTGCGGCGGGCGCCGGCGGTGGGGGTGGCGGTGGAGGTTGGGTGGTGAGGGGATGATGGGTGGTGGATCTTGATTGTTGGGAGTTGAGGGTGGTCACTGTTGTCTGAGGGATTCATTTTCTTTCCCTTTTCTGGGCGAGTTTTTCTCTTCTTTTCCTTTCCTTTCCTTTCCTTCTCCGGGGATTTTTCCTTTGCTTTTTGTTGTTGTTGTGAGAAACTGAGGGAGAGCTTTGCGTTTATGAAGGTTCTGGATGTTGTCTTAAGATGTTAATGTTGGACGGTTGATGGAATTGGACGAGCAATGGGAATAAAGGAACAAGTTGAGTGTGGAGAGAGTGGGACAAGAAAAAGCCAAAAAGAGTTCCAAGGGAAATCTTTCATGATAGAGTTCGGGTTAGTGTTTGAGATTTTTTGCTAATAGAATCTGGGTTTGCCTTGGGTTTAAGGTGGGCTTTGTTTAGGATCGAGTATAGACCGTTGGAGCCTAACATCTACCACATGGAATACTTCGAGACCTAACAGTAGAAAGTAGAACCACGAAGTATTGCAGAAATCAATGTTACCATAAAGTATCTTCTTTGTGGAAAGAGGAGTACAATGCTGCAATATCAGCTACTAATGACACATCTACTTCTTCATAGAAATAATTTATTAAGTTAATTTTTAAAAAGATAATAATAATCTCGTCACGAGTGATATCAAAACAGATATAATCTTGATCTAATTCATGCTAAATACTTTCATGGAGAAGCAAGCAAAGCGGTTAATGATTTTGATCTTATCCATGCCAAGTACTTCCATTAGAAAAGCAAGCAAGGTGATTGAAGATGATAAAGGCATATCGAATTAGGTGAGCATGAGTGCCACGCCCAATTATTTAAGAGAAGTAAATTAAGATGCTTCAATCTCACATGAACAAGTAAAGGGAATTTTAAGATATTTAAAAACGCGAAGAAAACTGTCAAGTGACCATCAAATAACCTATTCTAGAATTTTAAAAATTAATTTTGACTTTTATTAATAGAACATCGATCCTATCAACAAATTTAGACAATTAACAGATATCACTAATCGATTTTATTATACTTTGAATAATGATAAATATTATTATAATATCGATTAAGTTTTAAATACCTCGATAATAAGCGATTTTGCTTTCGGATATTTCAATATAAATAGGCACCAACCTGACTCATCCCTAACCTTTAACCCCCAAAATGAAAATACTAAATGCTCAAAAGAAAAAATTGGTACCATCTAGTATCAATTACACCATATTTTGTGGTATTATTGTTTCTTCAATGTGGCAGTTTCCTTTCATACTTTACTTGCCAATGTAATTCCCTTTTTGGTTTTTGTTCCATTCCATTTAGCATTCTAACATTTTCTTGTTACTTGATATTGTTTTCAGTTTAGTTGCTTAAGATTATAACTCTAGACAGCATATTTCAGAACATGAACAACTAAGGGTAAAAACAATGGAGCAATGTGTTTTTTTTTTTTTTTTTGCCAAAAGTGAAATAACAAGAAAGAGGAAGAGAAAAGGAAAAGCTGGGGGATGAATAAGACAGGATGAATCACTGAGCATCCAATCAAATGTAAGTTATAGCCCAAAGAAAAACAAAAATAAAAAAAAAGCTTCAACACTTACTCTGCCTTACTTCTACTGATCAGCATCAGACTATCAGTCTCCCACCTGCATCCATATTTAATTTTTACACCTTTACTTGTTCACAGATTTGTACTTTTGTTGCTTAGGCCTTTGTGTTTTTTTTTTTCTGGTTTGCAGCAGCAGCAGCAGCAGCAGCCACTTTCTGATCTCCAGTGTGTCGTTAGGAAGAAACATGCCCTTGCTTTACTTAATATATGTTACTTCCTGGAAACAGTGATAGTTTTTATCTATTCTTTTCTTTCACATTTTTTAATGCAATCCCAGAATGGTTTACTTGACTCCCATAAACAGCAAGCCAGAGATGCCCTCCTTGTGTTTCAGCACATAAAAGGTGTAAACTAACTCTAGGATAGTAACTCCCTCTATTTATTTATTTATTCAGCCTCAGCCAAATTACAACATAAAGAAAAAGAGAGAAAGAGACAGTTGGTTGCTAGGGTTTTGAGCCATTTCCTGTCCAGCCTGTATGCAGGTTTTCCTTATTTTTCTTTGCTTTGTATATGATCTATAGGCAAACTGGGGAAACCAGTTTTTGATCCAAGTTAAAGTAAAAGCTCAGAGGGATATCAGATGTAACATATATATAAATGACCTTTCATGCATGAGAGGGTCATGCCAAATGAATATATACTGATTTGCAGTTATTTTCAAACACAAAGTAAGGTTCATGACACCAAATTTGAATAGTATTTGGTGCTTCCATGCAAGCACTCTTTACCAGTCTACAATATACATATCTTCTATGGTAATGGCAGCCATCTTTTTAGCCAATGCATTGCAGATTCTTTTACAATGGTAGGAATCTACGGATATAAAATCAAATTAGAAACCATAGTAATTGGCTTGGTAAGTCCTAATTATTTCACTATCTGTATCAAGATACAGAAACCATACTTTTTAATCATAAGAAATATATATGTGGAACATCTACAAACTTCAAAAAACCTAAAAAGATAGATCTCTGAATTGATCTTTTAATAGGCATCAGCAGATAGGGCCACAAAAGATTCACTAGGAAAGGGTATAGAGATGATATGAGAAATAATGACAAGATCATTAAAGCTGAGAGAATTAAGCCAATAACTGACAAAATCAGAGAGAGGGGTTTCTCAGAAAGCACGATATATATTGCAGTAATTTAGTAAGAGATGTAAGTTTAACAACAAAAGGGAAACTTCAAAGCTGTATTTGGGATTTGGGTTCAAGCTCATTAATTACACCCAAATCAATGTAACAGTAAACCAACAAAGCCAAAAACAGACATTTCTGTGTGGTTCTAATATGAAAGCTTGAGGGACAAATCAACACAATTAGAGGCATTAGCATAAGAAGCTTCACCACCCACTGCAACTGAAGCTTCTGCAGGCAATTCCCATTCCTTGGAAGAAGTGCTTCTGCTACTTTTCCCTGGGAAGAATTCATACTCCATGAGAACACTTCCAGTGCCTGTAGAGCTTCCTTTCCTGTGAATTGCCACCACCTCCACAGTCTGCATCAGAAGACAAAATTTAAGTATCTTACCTAATAATAATAAACAAACAAAATCCTATAGACATTCTCTCTATTCCTTAGGGAAAAGAAGAAAGGAGTTGAGACAATTTAATTATCACCTCATTGATGTTCATTTGGCCTGCATAGGCTGCAGCACTCCTCGCAGCTCTAGCACTGAATCCATTTATCTCTTCATTGATGTTTTGATTGTTGTCCTGGTTCCATCCTAGAAAATGGTCTCCTTTGCTGGGCAAAATTTGTCCAAATTGGTTGAACCCTCCATTAAACCTTACATTGTCCCCATTACAGCGCTTCTTCTGCAACATGTAAAAGTCAGTAGGATACTAGTAATAAGTAATATAAACGACAGAAATCCAATCACTTGAAACATAAAACAACAAAAACAATTACTCAACAAAGGCCGAGACAAATACTGACTCGTACTTGTTTTGGACTTTTAGGTTTATCTGAGTGATTTCTAAACAAAATCCCAAGAAAAGAAAGACTAATGACACCTAATTTTTTTTCTTTTCTTTTCTTTTGGCGTTGCCATATTTTCTACCGAGCCAAACAAAAGGACTCAAGACATCCTTAATCCAACTTAACACACATAACTCTATGGCTTAACTAAGATTCGAAGCCTCTTTCCTTTTTACCCTTTTTCTTTTTTTTTTTGGAATCAAACATAAAAACTAGAAACTAGAATCAACAATACCGGCTAGCTCAAGCTTCAAAATATTATTTTTCCTTCATATTTTCTAACCTTTCTTTGAAACCAAACATAAAACATCACCAAAAACCAAGAACACCAGACTTCAAACAATGAAAAACCAAAAGCACAAATTACAAATTAAGAAAAACTACAAAAAAAGAACTAGACCTTAAAGCAAACATCACAACGATCAGGCTTACAATGCTGTAACTTTGGCATTGAAGAGAGCTCTTTAGAAGCCTCCACAACACCAGCACCACAAGCAACCTGAACACTACCAGGGGCTCCAACCAAAACCTGACCATTCAACCCACCAAACCCTCCATTTCCAACAACCCTTTGCATCACCAAACCAGCTGTATCACCCCAACCCAATAAACCCCCATTCCCACCATTGATCATCATGGGAACACCATAGTTCGCTACAGCATGAAGCACAGGAACAGTAGCAGTCCCAATAGGGTCAGAAGGAAGCTGGGTTGTTGGTGTTGTGATCGTTGTTGTCGTTGCTTCAGTCATTTTCTTCCACTTTTCTTGGAGCCTTAAACGTTCAAGTTGAGCCACTCCCATGCCTCTTTGGGGCTGTTTCTTTTGGTATGGACCTTTCCCAGTTGGTTTCCTTCCTTTGTTGCTCTTCACAAACTCCACAGCTGGTCTAGCCTCATCTTCCAAGGCTTTTGCTGTTGGGTTATTAGCATTTGGAGTCAAGAGTGTAAGTGAAGTAGCCATTACAGAAAAAAGGGTTGATCTTTTTGGCTTGAACAATCAAACAGAGCGAGGACAGAGAGAGAAAGGAGAGGTTTTTCTCTATGTCTTTGGCTTTTGCTTGGTGATCAAAGAATGGGGTTTTTATAGACTGATGATTTTGAAGATTTGGATTTTCTTTTTTAATTCATAAAAAGAGCAAGTTTTTAATTTAATTTAATTTATTTAAAAAAAAAAAAAACAGACCAAAACAAAATCTACCTCTGTGAAATGCTAAAAGGTACATGGCCTTGTCTGGTCTGCTATTTTACCTTTCCTTTGTTTTTGTATTTTAGTCTTTTTTCCTGTTTTTTTATTACTTAAATTGCTATCTCCACTCTTGTTTTATCAACTTCCAAATTTATCATCTTATTGTAAAAAATGGAATCCACAAATGCATTGGCTTTGAATTGAATTAAAGTATTCAATTTTTTTAACCAAATTTCCAAAATACAGTTTGGTTGGATTACTATTCTTTAAATTAAAATATTATTAATTTCTCCTATAATTTCCACAAATTTCTTTTTGCTCCATTCAAGAAAAAAAGGACAAAGAGAATTCTTTCCTGGAATCAGTAAAACCAGCATGAGACATAGTAATTTTGCATTCCCAGCCCCAGAGTGCACACCAATCCCTATGCAAGAAAAACGACAACCAGTCTATCTCAATGGGCGTACAGCACACGGGGCATCTTGTTATGAGATAAAACGTAACACACGCGCTTAAGGAGAGTGTTCAACATAGTACCCAGAGACACGTGTCAGTACGGAGGGTATACACCGATTATACCGGGGCATGGTCTGAAACACAAGGACATTACAACCCCTTTAAAGTGGTTGGCAGTGTCAGTTTAGACAAAAACAGCAAAGAAGGATTAGGGCTCTTCATTTTCATGCAAAAACATATATAAATCCTTTGCACTGTGGTCCATTTTGTTGTAATTATATTTCCATCAATTCATGGACATGCTCATTATCTTGTTATCATGGTGAATTTTGGGCTCAACATATGGTTCCAATAATTAAAATATTTTTAAATAAAATAAGAAAAAAAAATTACCTCATACGAAATAACATAATCGATATTAAAAATAATCGACATAAATTATTATAAGGGTTTTATAGGAAAAAATGCACAAGAAGGAGTCTCTATCCCCATATGTTGCTCTACTATACTACTGTCTTAACATAGTTTTTTTAAAGATAATTAAGTAATAATATGATCTTACTATATGGGGTTTTGGCCTTTTTCACATACTAATTGATTAAATGCATTTGAATTTAATGGGCATGATCTTTGTGATAACATTGGTGGGGAGCTAAAGGATTGTGGGTAAAGGGTGTAGGGGCAAAGGGGCAATCATGTAGAGTAAGATTTGGTCATGATCTATGTGAATCTGCCTATGTTGTAGGGTTGCAATGATGGTCCTTTCTTCATATTTGGAAACCATCAAAAAGCTGACTCCATGTGCTAGTTTCTGGTATGGCCAATGTATTGGACTAGGATGTGTCATTTTGTGATATAAATTCAATGGTAAGTAATTTTACTCTTAGATTTTCCATGTCTTGCTTGGGTTCATTATACATATTAAATGATTTTTGTCTTTCATTTGTTAGATTGTAACATGAATAACATTATAATCAATGCCTCAATGGTCACAAATCTAGCAAAATTGAAATATGGCTGCTTGTAAAACTAGCTAATAAAGCATAATCATAGTTAATTAAAATGGGCTTTTGACTTGTTCTTATGTCCCCTCTTTGTTACATTCTAACTAAAAACACATGACATTCAGTTATATATTGGACCTATATTCCTATATTTGGTTATGAACTAAATGATCAATCCTCTTCTTCTTCCCAAAGCCATTCTTTCTTTTGTTTTGCTTACCATGTGTTGCATTCAACTCTTCAAACTATTCACCCAAGTTTCCTAACATGATCAATAATATTATTCCATGAATATAAGTTGGACTTTCTCTTTCACCACTTGGAAATTTATGGCAAAAATTGTTTCATGGAGTTGTTACAAAGCAATGATGATAAAAACAAAGTTTCCCTCGAATCCAATCACATGAAAGCATTTTCCTTAGGATGTCCCCATCATGGCAAATTCCCATCTCAAAGTTAACCATCCAAACGCTATCAATCAATTATATTTCTTCTTTCTTTTCAAATGGTTAGTTAATTAGCTATTGGCCAAATAATGGAGAGGGCCACCATCCCCTCCCTTGACCTTACCCTACGAAAGGCACCAAGTTCTCAAAAGAAACCCTAATCAAAAGCACCAATACCTTTATAATATCTAACTCTTTATTCTAATATCGTATAGATACGTACATATATAATATCATATTCAAGATTGAATATGAATCAAAAAATAGTTACACCTTTAAAACCCATTAATGTATTTGGATCATCAAACCGAAATTATCAACCCGAAGAGCACAATTAAGTCTTATCACATTATGGTGTATCATGGGGTTGATATGAGTATATCTATGGCACCAAAATCTTGTGCTAGAGCTAAAAGATGGAAAGCTTAAAACGAATGAAGGGAAAAAAGAAGAGAAATTTCAATGGAAACCGCGTGACTAACCAAAGATGTGTAATTCTGATATGATTCTGGTTGAAGATCTCAATAATTCCCCCATCCTCCCTCCCCCTCACAAATGCATGCAATGCAAGAAAAAAAAAAAAAAAGCTGAAATCGTACGGACGGCCTGCCTCCTGCCTCCTCCCTCCGCCGTCCTCAAGCATGACAATCCTGACCAATAATGACCTGCCACGTGACCTAATGGGTCCCTCCACTCTCCGCCTTTCTCCTTTGCCCTTCTGAAAGCCTTGATCTAGTACTCTAGACTTGAGCATAATGCCTAGTAGGTGATAGAAAAAGGATAATGAAACTTCAAAAAAGGGCATGGGTTGGTCCCCTCCCTCAAAGACACGTGGCAAGTGGGGTCCACCTCGGGTGTTGGGATAGGCGGCTGGGACGAGGAGTTTGGCACGTGTGAAGGGGGTGGAACGTGTTGAACAGGCCGTGGGTTTTTATTTTTATTATTTTTTTGGAATTTATTTTGGATCAATGTAAACATGGAAAAGGTAAAAGGGTTTTGCTGGGTTTGGGCAGACATGGAAGGATTCTAGGGGTTTGGGGAGCAGATTGTGCCCTGCATAGAAATGATTGGGGATTTGGGCATTATTTGTAAGGTGGCCTACTGGTGTGTGTGTGTATATTATATATATATATATATATATATAGGACTATGACCCTAACTATGGGGCCCATTTTTGCATCAAAATGGGGACCATATAACACAATCCTTCAAAATTTCCATGACAAATAGCTCTTAAAAAGACATCAAACTATACATATTGTTTTCCCTAATTAATTAGCATTACAATCTCATATAATCTACCCACAATTTCATAGTTACAAGTTACACTTCAACTGTATTTATCTTATCTTTTAGAATAGATAAAAGAGGGAAAAAAGAGTTAAGACTATGCATAATAGCATCATATTGCCTAATGGAATGTGATTGAGAAGGTTGCCATTGTCAAGATTCTGAGAGTCAAACGCAAAGATAAGAGTTGTTCAGATATCAACATCTTTTTCACCCCATATGATCATGGTGTTTGGTAAAAAGGATTCTTTGTGTCCGCTTTTAGGTTATTTTTCTATTTTAATCTCTGGGATTTTCTTTTCAATGTCAAACTATGATTTTATTATCAAAACACTTCCAAAAATTTGATATAAAAGAGGTTTTACTGGTAATTTGGCATGGATTCAATTAGATTACAGTATTGATTTCAAAGTACAAGTAAATTGTTGATGATCTTGAAAAGGGGTTTGTAGTAAATGAGGAGAGTAGGTAAGCATTTGGTTTCATCCCCAAAGGTTATCTTAAAGGTTGCTATAAGGAACCAAAGGTTAGAGTAACTGTTGGTCCAGGCTTTATGCAACTTGTGAAAGATGTTACTCTTTAAGGCAAAAAATATAGCAAAGATCAAAAGATCCCCTCTCTCCCCCTTCACATTTCCATCCCCTCCCCCTTATAAAATCAAAAGGGCTCATAAATATGGACCACAGTCAGATAGAGATAGAGCAATACAATAATTACTCAGATCTCAATCTGAACTGAGATTTTGCTCTCTGCTTCTTTCTTTCTTTCTCTCTGTATTTCACCCCACTCTCCAACTTTATATTACCACTGTGCCCCCAACAGGATCAACAGGGTGCTGCAGAAAGGTTGGGGAAGGGTTAATCTGGACCGTCCAAAAGAGGGACAAAACAATCTGGTGGGGGATGAAATATTTGGGTGTTCTCCAGCATTTATGTACAATTTGGTGTAAAGTGATGCATGGAAAGTTAAAAAGGGGGTCACTGTCAGCTGTTAGTTGTGTTTGCATTGGGTACCTGCATATGAAAAAGAAAACACAACTGTGAAACAAAGACATTGGAAAGTAAGGTGTGTCTGTAAGATGTTTTTGGACTGCAATCAAAATTCTGTCCACTCTCTAAACAGTATTATAATTTTTTTTCTTTTTCTACTCTTTTTCTAAATGACAATAAAAAATAAAATAAGATAAGTAAATGAATATTTGATTTAACAATAAATATATGTACCTTTTTGTTGAAGAAAACGGGTTGGAATCACATTTTTCCGAAATAAAAAACTCTTTATGCTGTAATGCCAGTTTCAATGGTACCTTTCATATGGATTGCTGGGCGGTTCAATTCCAAAGCAGATTCTGTTGTTTTCATCCAAAGCATATTCCTTCTGCTTTTTCACTCCTTAGCTTTTCAGAAACAGTAGGGAAGTTGAGAACTATCAAGCTAAATCTTCTATTCTCTTGTCAAATTGGAGCATCATTCAAACATCAGAAACAGCTACTGCTCCTGTTTTTGTTCCACTGTAAGAAACAAGTTGCAAAGGAACACGTTATCCAACTGTTTCTGTTGCTCTGGTTAAGCATATAAGCTGAAGACAAAAATGAAGGCAACTTTTACTTGTTTGCTTTCAACATCCTACTCTGTTGAAGTTTCAAAAAAGTTCTTTTTCTCTTCAGGCTTTCTGGTTGGCTGAATTGTTTCTTTTTTCTTTCTCTTGGTACACGGTTGGCTAATAGTTGGGAGGGGGATCATCAGTATGAATGGTTCATGATCTACAGTAATGAAGAAATCAGGTAGGAGAAAAAAGGATGAGAAGAAGACAGGACTCCTGAATAGAAAATGGTGAAAAGAGAACTTCAATGCCACAAGTTCAAATATCTTCATTCTTTAGTTCCCCAATCTTTGGGCCAATTGAAGTATATAGCTCTCATTATTTTGGGGGAGTAACACTAGAATGTAAGGGAATAGAATTATTGGAAGTGAATGAATAAGATATTATAATACAAAACTTGATGTTATGACATTCTCTGCTTTACAAATTGATCTATCTACATATTTAACCTACATTCTGCAAAGGCTACGCTCTCAGGAAGGATAAATGACGCACACAACATCCATTTTCCGGGTGCAACAAGGCGTACCCTACGCATATCCACATTAACTGCAACCTCTTGCAAGGCAATTCGTATCCGCTGCATTAACCAAAGAACATAAAAATAAATATGAAATAAAAGAAACAGAAAACATAGTGGCCACATATTCCACCCACCTAAACGCTTCAACAGGACTAGCAGTAGCTAACATGGACACGCAAACATTATGAGATTTCAGCACCATACCTCATGAAAGTCAAACTCAGGATCTCGAGCTTTCGAAAATCCATAAACGTGAATCATTGGGAAGCTGAACTCTTTATCGCTAGGTTGATCTCTGTACACTCCCCTGAATGCAACTGTTCCTCAAAGGCCAAAACATAGAAAGAGATTAAAGTTTTGCATGATATCTCCAGATCATTTCAGCATATTGTGAGACCAATAGCCACTATCAACCACCATGACTTCAGAAGGTTCTGAAGACTTTAACAAATGCTTCTAGTTAACATCTCTCCCAGCACCAAAAATGGTTGTGGAGAACATTATTTATCCACTAAGAAGTATCATCTAATACCCTTTTTGACCACAGTAGTACACACTGAAACTTAAATCCTAGTTCCATCAGTCATTTCAAAAGTCTATGCTGATTGCCTTCACATAACTAACATAATCCTATTTGTAATTTCTTGCAAAAACTACCATCAATGTGTTGATCTTTAACATTCAACTGGAAGAATGTGACAAGATTATTGCAAGCAAGTAGAAATAACCAAATAATGTAAGTAGGAGTATGAAATTCACTAAAGACGCTCTTAATTAGTCATGAAAAGCAAAAGAAAGTGAAAAAATGCCAGCCATTTGAAGAAGACTACTTACCTAGAAATTCTGCTGCATCTTTTGGCAAATTCAGAACTACGTGTGTAATAGAATGAGCTTTCTCACTAGAAAACATAGCATTGATGAACCTTCTTCCATCCATGTTAAAAACCTAGATAGTGACACAAAATATCCTCACTATGAAATATACAATTCTATTCACAAGAAAATCAAACATTTAAAAACAGCAAAATCAAATAAGCAATAAATTACCTGGGTCAGGGCAGCATCAGTGATAACCATTCTTTTCAATTACCTTTTTCATCTTATATTTTATTAAGCCATGGTCTCTAAACCTCGTCTGGTAGGAGTTTAGAGTCATTTCTAGTTTAACTTATCAAATTTGAAGACAAGTTGTGACACCCCACCCACCCAAAAGGAATAAGGAACAAGTGAAGTGATGTCTATACGGATAAAGTTAAAGAGCTACATGCAGCACATTAATTCTTTTAGCAGACCGAATCACCTAGCATAATGTTACTGGTATAAATGACTCAATCATACCTTAATCTTCCTCTCAACTTTGTTGAGGACACCATTTCTTTCAAGATACTCAACCGCAAAAGGGTTCAAATCATTAGCATAGACACGTTTTACTATCTTAGCGGCAGATATAGCAATTGGGCCAACCCCAGAGAATACATCACCTGCCAATTACAAAAAGAGTCGAGACATACAAGCATCTTGATATGAATACTTACAAAATCTTAAACTAGCACAAAATTTTTGGAATAAAAGAGCCTTGCAGTGATTATAACAACAATTCTCTGTAATTTATAATCCCAAACAACATCAAGATGCAAACATACAGATGACATCCTTGTGATTGAAGCCACTCAGAAGCCTCTGTCTCTCAGTTGCAAGCCTCGAATTCCAATACCTGCATACAAGAGGCAAAAGTGGAACATGAATACCCTTGTGATGAATTATTCTCTGCTATATGGCCCTTGCATCTTCATCGGACATGATTTAACTTTAATCCTCATTTAGCAGACAAACATTAAGAAGTCTAAGTTAAATTTCTTATTGCTTGAATGGACAGCATCACATACACTGTTGCCAAATCAACATGAAATCGCAGTCCATTCTCAACTACTGTAGTGACCAAGGAGCAATTCCCAGCTAAAACCTCAAGCTGCATTGTTCTGTAGTCATTATGAATTGCATCAATCTTATTTACAACTGTTTGTATCTTTGGCCTGTTTTTGTCCAGAACCACCTGATAAAGTGGAAAACAACCATCTCCTGTCAGAAGACAATTAATGAGTTCACTTTCAAATTTGTAGACATATCTTCACAATGGTAAAATTATTAATAATTTCCATAACGAGCACCTTTGCTATAACATTCTTGTATGGTAGATGTTCATCTCTCAGGTTCAAGTGTGCAATATGACCAACTGTCTCAAAGGCTGAAGGGATAATCATTCCTTCCGGTAACAAGGCCTCCAATATCTGCCAGCAATGCATAAGATTTAAAGTCTCCATTGATGTTGCAAACATTTATATCTTAGTCTGACTAGTTGAGGTGGGATCAAAAAAAAGAAAAAAAAAAAACTAACTACACCCCATTTTTCGCTTTCCTCTTAGCCAGTTAGTTCTCATTGATTGGGCAAGTTAGTCGAGGTCTATACCTTTGTGGTCCTCATGTAACAGAATAGTACATACAGACTTTTAATGAAATAATTGATAATTTACTATAATTGCACAATGCTACGAGATTCCACAAATCTTGTTTCTTCATTCCTTTGAAATTAAATGGTCTTCTATATTATTGCCTATAATGCTGCCATTCCCAGCTTCTAAACTTTTTCACGACATTACGAGTAGGGTGACTCCAGATTTAGATGAACATGATGTTTCTCAAAGATTCAAGCATACAGAGAAAGAATGGAAAAGAAAGAAAAACAGAGGTGGAAATGATGAAAAGAAGAACATATTTTGTGCAAGACACCCTAACTTCAACTACCACTAGAGTGAATCTTAGACACCTAGGAAATCTCTCTTCGAGAGATAACAGAAGTAAGCTTGAAGGACCTCTTTGTTGTCATAAACAATAGTAAGTACAGGCTTAACAGTCCAAAACAAAATAAGGAATCAGAACTGAAGCTAGAAAAAAGGACTTTATATAGCGCTCTTGTGCTGACATACCTCAGTCATCTGCCAATAATCATAGAACAAAGTCAGCTTGCATCTCACAAGCTCTATAGTTGATGATCTATTCTCTTTGGTTTCTTCAGCCAACACAGCCTGAAAAATAGGATGGGATTTTAGATATATATAAACAGGAACATCTATCATAATAGAAATCCTACCATTGATACAGCATTAAAATTATATATCCTCAGAAATAAATAGAAACGAACAGCATTGGCATTAAAAATAATAAAAATAAAAGAAAAAGAAGAAGAAGAAGAAGAGGGAAACAACCAGAGCAGCAAATAATTTTTCAACAAATTAAAGAAAAAAAAAAAGAAACAAAGTGTACTGACCTCGCATGAATGCATTAAATAAATTCAAAGTTTTCCAGCTTAACATACTAAAGCACTAAAGTAACTTAAGACTAATGCCTTAGCAGAGTTCCATCTTTCTAATCCTTTACAATACATTAGGAAACATTTCTATGATCATCTCAGCACATCATATCATTAACTAAACTCATTGTAAATCACAACATCATACTCAAACAAGCTTCAATAAAAATATCAAAAAAAGATCGGGAAAGAAAAACACCCAAATTACTACCTTAATTGCTTGAGGCAACTCCTCCGATCCTTTATCCCCATACCTCTCATCCAAAAGCAACAATCTTGTTGAACCTTTCCATATTCTCTGCCCTTTAAATTCCTCTCCTAATAACCCTTTCATTTCCTCCTCATCTCCTCCTTCCTCCTCCACAACTTCCACCACACAAAACTCTTTCCTCCCATTTCCTTTGCTTTCCTCATCCCCTTTCTTTTCTTTCCTTTTCCTCTTCCCTGGCCGCGAAATCTTAGCCAAATTTTTAAACTTTACAAACCCCATGTAATTAAACTCCTTCACCAATTTCTCCCTATACAAAACCAAAGACTCAAACTCTCCATCACTTCCCCCATCGTTCTCTTCACCATCTTTTCCTTTATCGAAAAGGGTCATAATTTCTTCTTCGATTTCGTCCCCGGGAACCCTGGCAATGTTCTTAATCCTTGGCCAATTCAGGAGGTGACCCCTGAGACGGTTCTCAAGGGCAAAACAGTCATTTGAAGGGACGCGGAGGGCGGCAAGATGGAAAATTCTAGTAAAGTTCTCTTCATCGATGAGGTTTTCTTCTTCTTCTGGTTGATGGGCATCTTGCTTTTGGGTCTGAAAAGGGGTCTTGGGTGGGATTTTGCCTTTGTTAAGAGAGGGGCCGTAAGAGAAAGTTTGGCTTTTGGTTTCAGCTTGTGTGGACCAGAAGAGGGAAAGAATTGGTCGTTTTGGAAGAGAGAAAGAGGAGAGTTTGGGAGAGAAGATTGTCAAAGGAAGAAGATAGTTTGGTTTCAGATGGAGAAGCTTCGTCGTCACCATTTTTAGTGAAGTACTGAAGTGGGGATCTTGCCAGAGGGAGGGAATGTAACGGATAAGGGGGTTAAACAGGGTTTAAGGCCCTTTCTTTCTTTTTCCTTTTCTCATATTTAATTTTTGAGAAATACTTTTGCTTTTATTTTGGTCATAAAACTAGTACTAATTTGCATTTTACTTATTAGAAGTCACTGTATGAATCTGTGCTAAATATTGGATTATAAGTCCCATTTTTTTAAATGCATTTTATGGTTGTCCTATAACCATATATACAAATAAATTATTCTTTTAATAAAAAAATCATATTATTTTTAATTAAAAATTAATAAAAAATAACATTACAGCATTTGATGGATTAATTTACAGAATTCTTATATATAAAAACAGAAAATTAAATCCTCTGGGGCAATCATTCTTACAATTATTTGTCAATATCTTTTGGTAAAGAATTGCATGAGCAAACAATCTGCAAATTGAGGGTGGCTTTCACACAACATTGTAGCTTCCCTAGCAATCTATATTGGATTAAAACAAATGCTGATTTAGTGACAGTTTTTCCCTGATTATAGAGTCACAAACAGACAAAGGGGGTACCTGGTCAAATCTAAAAAAAAGACAAGCACCCAAACTGCAGATATGCCATTGTAATTCAATGCCAAAACATAAACTTATGAAAAAAAAATTCACTATTTTTAGATCATCTATTAAGCTAGCAACTGGCATGCTTGTCCACTATTAGATTAAGGAGGTGAAAATTGCAAAGCATTCCTAATTCTTAAGCCATCTTTGGTTGTTTGTAAATCATTTATCAAACTGATGATGTCAGGTCCAGAGTTCTTTCATCTCCAAAATTTGGATTTTTCCTAAGCCACTTGTATTCATAAATCCATTGAAGTAAACCCCAAAAGATAAATGTTTTAACAGCTAATGTAAACAAAGACATGAATAGATGCCAGCATCTGTGGGTAAACATTGCTATCAAGCTGTTCTTTTATTGGAACATTTGTGTAAGTATTTGTACAATTGCCATTTCTTGTGACTGTAAAAACATATAATTGACAGAAAAAAAAAAGCTCTAAATGCCTGATTTCTGACAACTATAGGTTACAAATCAAGAACCCCAGGATAGGCAACAACTGCCAAAAAAATTGTATTGAAAAGAAGAAAAAGAAAAAGGGTTTCTGATACTTTCTGATCTGGGTTGTCATTGTTTCAGTGAAGGCTGAGGACTTAGACTATGGTTCCTTTCTAGTAATCCTTCCATGATAACCTTCTTCTTGGAAAACTTGTCTGTATCAATCTCAGGAAAATGCTCAACTGCATTATTCCCTGATGACGATGGGGAAAGCTTGATACTCCAACGAGTGGCCAAGAAGAGCCAGGTTGAAGTACAAAAGATTGCACAAAGCTTACCCCAGAAGACCAAAACAAACAGGGTAACGAGAAGCAAACACATACCAACGTTATAACCATAGCAGCCCTTCCCAACCTTTCCTTGCATGTTGTTTTCCAGCTTTTCGGGTAATGAGAGTGATGATGATGATGAACACTTTGACGACGCTAATGATGATAATAATGATGAGGATGATGATGAGTTCGTGGCTGATGTTGTACATAAACACGATGCAAATGTAGAACTTCTGGTTGAGGGATTCTCCTCACATGATTTCTCCATTGACTTTGGATCGGAAACTTTCTTGGGTTTGGATTTAACACTGTTGTGAGACCGCTGGAGCTTCTCTCCAAATTTTTGGTTTCGCATTTTCATCATCTGTCAATGGAAAAAATACGAAGAAATCAATCAGGTTCACATTCCATCAACAAAGAACAAAAAATTAGCATTAACAATTGCTAATTACGCAACAAATTATGCTAAAATAAAAGGGAAAGAAAAGTAAAGTTGACTATTAATTTTCAAGAACAGGGGAGAGTGTCCTTACCAATTTGAGTAATAATTTGATTAACTTGGCCAAATTAATTAAAAATTAACAGTCAAATCATTTGGTTAAATGAAGAAGAAAAACAAGGAAACTAACTAACCAGGGAAGTTTCAAAGAAAACGGCTTTGACATAACGGGAGAAACTCCGACGACCAAGTTTGCATGTCCGACCCAAAGAACCGACATGAACATCCTTGTCTACATCGTCCGAACACATGTTCACGGAGGGAAAAAGAAACGGGTTGACCCGCTCCGACTGCTCCTCTCCTGGTCCAACGGCGAAACCGCTCTCCATGTCATCAGGATGGAAACACATGCAGAAACTGTTACTCCTCTTCTTACTTATTTTCTTCATTCTCTTTCTTCTTCCAACGTTGTTAAGTTCATGCAGTGTCCTTCCAGGGGAGCGGAGAAAATGAATGTCTTTTTCCCTTTTTGTCAAGGTTTGTGGAAATAGCGAGGATTTAGGGGGAACGACTGTTTGTTTGGAGAGAGTTTCGGAGAACCTGAGAAAACGAGGGAAACAGTTGGTTTCAATGGAAGTGAGGGAAAGGAGCGACGATTTTGCTTCTTTATTGGCTCCGTTAAGGAGTAAATTAATTAATTAATAGTTATTTATTTCACACCTTGAGGTAAAAAAATTTCTTTTTTCATTTATTAAATTTCATTTTTAATTACTATTATATTTATTTAAATAAAAAATAAGTAATTTATTTTTTTTGTTTATTAACAAATATAAATAGAATATTTCAATTTCATATCAAATATATATATATATATATATTTCTTTTATTTCCACTGCTTATAATGTTATTTCAAAGACCAAGATCAGAAGTGTTTTTAAATGACAAAACCCGTGATATTATTTTAATTATAATTATATATAAGCTAAAAATAGAAATGAAGGAAAATAACCCATGGAGGAAAAAGAAAATAGCTCTTCTTTTTTATTTCTTTGGAGTAATTTAAAGGGGATGGCTCCCATTTATTATTGGACTTAATGGACTGACTGACTTTGACTTTGACTTGGACTTGGTTTAAAAGAGATGACCCTAACTGACTTTGAATTGTTCTTTAAAAGAGCCTTAAAAGAAATAAATAAATAAATAAAAACGTCTGATTTGGTGCAAATTAAATAAAAATAAATAAATAGGTGTATAAAAAGAAAAAAAAAACAAACAAAAAAATTATAATCAAAATTATTTATGAAAAGATAAAAAATTGAAAACGAAATGAGTTAGGCAAAGTGATGGGATATAGAGAGATTACAATATTTGAATGTGCCAATGACATTGAAGCCTAAAGATTTCCAAGACAAATTCTATACTGCCTTCTGACTTCAGCTTGCAATCCTCTCAAAAAAGTACAAGTAACCCATGTCCTTGGGTGGATTGATGGAAGCCCCAACCTTATTATCATTGAATATCACCCATCTACCATCTTTGAGGATGTGAGCAACATAGTGGCCACACTGGGTAGACGTTCCGATGTGACTCACTATCCCGAAAAGCCGATATCCTGCATTGAGAAAGCATTGCATTACAACCATTATGCAGGATTATGAAGCGGAAAAACAGGATAACCAAGATTCGAGAGACTCACTCCCTCCTCCATCGGGCAGTCCTGCGTCAACTGGAGTAGGCACACTGCCGCTTGATGTAGTAGTATCCATGTCTGATGAAGCAGAGGTATTGGGATTGTTAAATATCCAATCTGTTGCTTTTTCAATGTCACCACCCTGTAAAAATGTACATCCCTCAAAATTATGGATTTCCAACAGATAAGAAAACTGACTACGAAACCACGCTCTCCAAATCCTCAGAAGAAATAAAAAAGCTGTAAACACTGTACCGATGCCTTCAATGCCATTCGAGCAATTTCTTCTTGAAAACCAAATGAAATCAAAGTATCAACTTTCGATTGGTCAACAGATGCCTCAGCACCTTGTGCCCCGTGGCAGATAGGAGCATCTATGTCTGAAAAGATATATTACTAATTATCATTTGACACAGATCCTTGCAGGAAGATTCGAGATTATATCAATAATGCTAAATTGTATACCTGGATCATCCATGTGTGAAAGCAACCAGTTCATTGCCTCTTCCACACCAGTATTTAAAGTATTTATGGCAGCTTTCTGACAATGAAGCTGGTTAAACCCCATTGAGACAAGCTGGGCAACAATTTCTTCATTGGCCACAGGCTGACTTGATTCCACCTCACTCCCAGGAGCTATGCAGTGCAAATAAAAGGTGCCACGGAAAAATTTTACAAATCAATAGTTCTCTTTTACATTGTCAACTTCTCAATTAAGGTTATCATTATCATTAAATAGACAGTCACCAACATTGAAGTCATTCGGCAGTATCTTTTTACTGTAATAAATACTGATAAAGGAAGTCAACTTTTATTTGAAACGAATTATCCAAATTGAATCTATTAATTTACATACCAGACTCTGGCAACAGTTCCTCTCCAGGTTGAATGCCTTTGCTGCGCATGTGGCTGATATCTATGATGTCGGGAACATCTATGTAGACATCTGGATGGACAATATATATGATAAGTAGCAACTTGATAGAAACAGGCAATGTGCAACAAATAACAAAGCCATGTGAAACTACCAAGCTTTTTAGGCACCCAGCCTGCCTCCATGACAAACTTCCTCATGTGCAATACCAAATAATCAGGGAATGAAGTTAAACCAGCAGTCCTGTAGCATAAAATACAAAAGAGAATAATAAACCTCTGAACACTAATATTCATTAATAAAAGAATACTCTAGGACTGCTAGTTTGCAACGAATACCATCAGTTAACTACATGCTTATCAGGACCTTCCAAAATAATAAATTTTAACTGAGGGCTGACCAACCCATCAGAGACCACAAATCTTACTTGATAGCAGTCGTCTTAGCCTTCAATGCAGTGCTATAAAACTCAGGTATCTCCTCTGGAGCTGCAAAGCTTGCTAAGCATGCTTCTAGAGGTACCCTTGGACGTACTATTTCATCACTGGATCAGTGGAACAAAGCATCCTAAGAAGAAGGTCTACAGAAGGCTAAAAGTATCATATAAGATCATTGAAACTTACACATCTTTCCCTTCTGAAATCTTTTCAGCTTTGATTTTGTGAAAAGCTTCC